TTTTATTAAATTGTGCTAACAGTTGAGAATATCTATAAATTACAAAACTGATTATTGGATATTGTCATATTAGCTACATTGAACTAACCAGCTTCAAATAGCTAACCAGAGAATTGTGGATAGTAAATTTAATTTATGTCACATAGATTATTTTAAATTACAAAAGTATCAATAATAACATTTACATCGCTCTCTTAGGTTAATATACTGAATTTTTCACTTAATTTACAGCTATCTATTAGAAAATTTTAAAGTACAATCTATTTAATATAAAAAAAATATTTCATTTTTAATTTACATTTTAAAAAATTACCTATTAAGAATTAACGATTGTTATTAACGTTGATGCATTTGAAAAATCTAAACTTGTTATTTTTATATTTTTAATAGTCAAGAAAGAGTTATTTATTTAAAAAAAGAAGCAATCCGATGTATTAACTGTTGAAGATATACTTATGTTATCTATAATAGCACTTGAAACAATACCGTCGAAATAGACCCCACACTTTTATTAGGAGCTACTAATAATGAAATTAAAAAGTATGTCATCAATGTTTAGCATGAAGAAATCCGAGAATTGGAGCAACTAATTTACATTAATTTAAGCTAATTGATTATTATTCTAGCTCTAAATTGTTAAATTTGTTTATGCAAAAACTTACAAAGTTAGTAGTTCATTGTAAAACACCATCTAATTTTAGTTGCTCAGTAATAAGTTAACATTTAGAATTTCAAATCCGTTTATTAATTCGAAATATTACTTAACCTATTTTTAAAATGAAAATATTATTTTTAAATAGAAAAATACTTTGGTAAAATTTTTATTTTAATCTAGATATTTACTAAAAGTAAAGATGAAATTATACTCAAAGAGGTTGTAAAAGGCTATTCAAAAGAACCTATTCCATATAGACTTTAAGTATCAGTAGTTTCAGTAGTATTAAAATAAAACTGCATTTAGCATTTCTAAGTACAACTAGGCAAATTTTAAAGACATTATCCAATAGGGAAAAATGTATTACTATAGTAATACTAAATAAATAAAACCTAAGTCTTTTCTATATACTGAATATTACTTCCACAATCTGTTAAAGAAGGTGACTGGAAATGCATAAATAATTCAAATTATTAACTAACTGTATTAAAATTCCATAAATAAACATCTCCACTCATTTAATCTCCAACTCCAAACATATTAATTTTATTGAATACATTTAAATAGTATGGAGTTGCCTATAGTTTCATTAATGTTTAAAATGTTTTTTTAAAGAAATTATAGACAATTAAACTGTAATCACCACAAACTATTATAAGAAATTTATTATCATCATTATGAAATAATTAACCAATTATTGAGCCAGAACAATCAGATGCTTTTTATAAAAATTAATTTTTTGAATAAATAAATTAAATAATTTTTAAAATATTTTATTATTATTATTTTTTAATTAAAGAAAAAAACTGAAAATTTGTTGGGATAAGATTTGATATTTCATTAGTTTATTTTTGAATTTTATGTTAGATTTTATTGTATGATTACCTATTGAGTATTTGAATGAAAGGTCTGTAGAATTCCAAACAAAAATACTTCCATTAACAGCTATACCAACGATTTCTTAATCTTCTTAGGAATAGAGAGCATAACTTGTTTTTTGGTTATTTTCTTCTACTATATTAGAGAGCAATTTATACTATTATTAAGAGCTAATATTTATAGCATAAAATAAAAAATTTTCATTATTTTATTTTTAAGGTAATCCTACAATAACCCAAATAACTTGATTAATATCTTAGTAGGGATCAATATTAAAGCTTATTGAATCATTATCAAGATTTAACTAACTTAAATCATATACCTGTTTTTATATTTATAATAACTTTAATATTTTTGATTAAGATAGAAAGAAAGAAGTAATAACTTAAGGGGTGAATGATGAGTCCATTACTTTATAAAATACTAAGTATGTATAATCATGCATAGCAATAAAACAAGTAATACAGTTTTTTACAGAAAAAAATGTATTTTATCTTGCTTTGATCTACGCAATAAGAGGATAAGTAAGGATAGATTTTAGGTTACTTGGAGAATCTTTAGTGACTATAATTTAGTAAAATGTAGCAACAGCAAAGTATATTTCTTAATTGATTTAGAAACTAAATATTTTTGTAAAACCTGCAGAAGGAAAAGCTTAATTTTATAGTAGAATAGTTAAAGTAAATTTATTTATGAAATTTTTATTTTTACTAAAACGAGTGAGCTAAGTGTTTGTACTATAGGAATAAACAAATAGAGCTGATTATCCAAAGTATCCAGTGTAGTATGGTATTAAAAACTATTGACTTTCTTCAAAATAATACCATTCTTAACATGGATTTCCAGGTAGTTAAACAGTAAAAGGTTGATTGATATTATCAAAGCTAAAAGAATCAAATGTATTTGTATTCTAATTATAGATAAAATTTAAATCTATTCTATAAATAAGCGTTTAGCTACTTATGTATAAACTGCCTTAATTATTTTAAGAATTTATAAAGTTTAAACTGACTATATTATCTGATTGACCATTCGGTAGATCTATTTTTTAAAATTTTAAGAAATTTAAAATGAAAATTATTATTATATTTAATCTACAATCAGTCTTGATTAAATTTATCTAATTCGCTTATAAATTAATGATCTAGAAAGCATTGATTTGACAATTAGCTCCTGCTAAAAATATAATGTCATAACTTTTGTGGAAATCTATTAAACTATAATTATAATCTATAAAATAAAATAGTGTGAAATATTATTCTTTGAAAGACTTAAAAAATAAGTTATACAATCTATCGAATAATATCCGTTAAATGAGAATTTAAAAGTTTTAAAATCAATTGACCAAGTATAAGCACCATACTAATCAATTGCTGCTATAAAATTCTAACCATTTTAAAGCTAAAGTAACTTTACATAGGTAATCCGATTAATATTGTCAGAATTAAAAGGTGAAATATTCAAAGCTAGAATTTATTTTCCTTCTATAAAGTCAACAACATATAATAAATATACTATACTTTTTAAGACACAATAATTAGATCCTTTCATGAAATGCATACTTTCTAAAAGACTATATGGTAGTGTTTATTTAGATTCAAGAGTATAAGGATCTGCGTATATTAGCCCTTCTGAATTCAGAACTAAAATTTGATTTCTTTATAGTACATACTCCATTTGAAATATAACGAATTTAGCTTTAATAAAATAAAAATTGTTATAAAAATATATAAACAATTTATTTAAATTTACTCTTAACCACATTCACAATATTATCAATTTCACTAGAAATATCAATGTAATATACTATACTCTGAGACTATACACCATTTTAATAACATATAGTGTTTATCAAAAGTATATTAGTGTTAGGCAACTTCAAATAATTAGAAGCAATATAGCCCTCAAAAAATCTAGGCTCTTTTTTTAAAATTTAAATATCATAATGAATTAAAATATTAATTTAATCTTACAGTGCTACCTAGAAAATGCTTAACATGTTTAAGAATTAGAGCTTTGTATTGATTACAATAAGACTATGACTATTAAATTCAAAGTAAAGAATGATTTACTCATACTAATAGATATTTTTTCAACCTTCTATTATTACTATTTTTAATTCAAATATAGGTTTTGAGATAAGATTAATGAATTATTTCGTGGAGAGATTTTTAAATAACTTCAAATGTTGAATAATTATTATTTTTTATGTTTCTTATTCTTTTCTTTTACTATTTTTAATTCAAATATAGGTTTGAGATAAGATTATTGAATTAATTGGTGGAGAGTTTTTAAATTACTTCAAATTTTTATCGATTATTATTTTAGATGTTTTATATTCTTTTCTTTAATTCTTATACCTCAAATTTAGGATTTAAATGTACACTTCTATTATTGAAATTAATCTAAAAAAACTAAAAAATATATTCTTCAACCTTCTTTTATTACTATTTGTAATTCAAAAAAAGGTTTTGAGATAAGATTATTGAATCATTTGGTGGGGAGTTTTTTAACTAACTTTAAATGTTAATTAATTATTATTTTTGATGTTTCTTATTCTTTTCTTTTACTATTTTTAATTCAAATGTAGATTTTGGATAGGATTATTGAATTATTTAGTGGAGAGTTTTTTAAATAACTTAAAATGATGATTTATTATTATTTTTGATGTTTCTTATTCTTTTCTTCTAATATCTCAAATTTAGGATTTAAATGTATGCTTTCTTAAAAGAAATTTTCTAGAAAAGCTAAAATATATTACTTCAATCTTCAATTATTACTATTTTTAATTCCAATAAAGGTTTTGAGATAAGATTATTTGTTTATTTATTATTTTTTATGTTTCATTTCTTATTCTTTTCTTTTATCTACAATATATATCTAAAAAGCTACCTCTAATAATAATAATAATAATAAAATACTATCCTCAAAATTTTTAATATAAAAAATTTAAAGTAATTTTTTTAAAATTACTTAAGTATAAAATAATTTTTACTAATTTAATTTTATAATTTTTAACTTTAAATTCTCTAAGAAAAAATAATTTGAACATATTTATTATTGATAAAGTATATTCAAATTAATTAAAATTTGAATTACTATTTGAATGCTTATTTTTAAATGGATTTTTGATAGCTTTATTAAATTTATGTTTAGAAAATTAAAAAAAAATTGTCAATTCAAAATAATGAAAACACTTATATATCAATTATATTAAAAAGAAAGAAAATAAAATGAATCAATAAATTATTATAATATTTTAAAATTCATTTATAATCATTAAAGAACAAATATTTAGAATCTTTTTTATATTTAATTAATTTCATTCTTTTCTTTATTATAGGGATTAAATAAGATCTACTAAGAATAAAAATAATATTTTGACTTTTATTTTTTATTCATACTATTTAAGTTTTAGTTTATGTTATATATATTCGTTTGAGATAATTATTGTTCAACTTTTTAGATGTTTTTACTGCTTAACTGTGATTATAAAGTATTACTACTCTTGTAAATGCTTTAAGAAAAAAAGAGTTGCTTTTTCTTCTATTTATTTACCAATTTATTTATTTTTAAGAATTCATTTGTGGCTAGCCTTGTACATTAAGAGTTTGGTAGATAATACATTATTATTAACTATATTTTAATTCATTTTTTTGTTAAGCTATACAGGTGAGGATTTTAAGATAGTTGGATAAACCTAAGATTTACTCTTTTTATTTCTAATGTACATTACTAGTGATTTAAGTAATTAATAAATAGATACCATGAGATCTTTGATAATAAAAATAGTAAAATACGCTATTAAAAATCCATTAATAGCAACAATTATCCATCCAATTTTCATTCTTGTTTCTTATCTTAATCTTAAATATCCTTAGCTAACAAGGAAGCACAAATTTAAATGGCTATCATTAAAACTTCCTAATAATCTACCACATCTGATAAAGATGCTTGACATCAATTTCATAGCAAAAATTTTAATTTTTATTAGCGAAAAAACATAATTTTTTGAACAAAAACTCTTCTTAGTTTTCTCAACAATACAATTCAAGATAAAATAATGATAGTAATTAAAGAGAAAAGTTATCAATAGTGGTCAGAGAAATTCAAAGAACCCACTCTCCAACTGAATCATCCACAGGAAATACAAATATTTAACATTATTTTAATTTTGGAATAAATCAAAACAACTCTTCTTATGTTCTTATGTATAAATTTAAAAAAATAAGTAAGACTTTATGTTATCCCTAAAAATTAGCTCCTAAAAAATAATTAAAAGAAATAAGATAATTATCAAAATTAGAATAATTTTAAAACAGATTAACAGAATTTAAGTTTTAATTAAGAAAATTAAAGTTTTAAAGAATGAAATCAAATCTTTAAAATAATGATTAAAGCTTCAAAGAATAAAACCAAAGCTTTAAAGAGTAAGAATTATATTTTAAAGAATAAAGCAAAAACATTTATTAAGAAATATTAAATATTTGAGGAGATAAACAAAGTACATAAAAATTGAATTAAAGTAAAAGTGAAGCTAATTTAGATTAGCATCAATTTAATTTTTTAAGAGAAAAAAAAAATTTTTTTGAAAATTTTTATTTGAATTTTAAGCAAGTAAATAAATAATAGTTATTTTATTTCTAATAAAGCCCATAACTATTTTTATTAAGAAATAAAGTAAAGTGAATTAAATATTTCTAATGAACTGGTTTAAGATGAGAATTTTGAATAAAATAGATAATTTTAGTAATAAAATACAAGAAATGTAAGATTTTTAACTCTTCTACCAACTGCTCAAAGCACTGCAAATTATACTTTATCTTATTATATTGTAGATTAATTTATAAACTTTCCTCATTTTGTTACCAATACTGATACAATCAATACCAATAAATAGAGTTAAAAACTAGTATCTTAATAACACCATTCTTGCTAAAGCAATAATAATTTTTGTTATCAAAATAAAATAATTCTATTATTACTAGTATCAGTAAATTTAAAACTGAACACTAAGAATTATAAAACGATGTAAATATATGAAATAAAGTTAAAAAACTTGAATAATTATTAGCTAAAACAGAAGATTCTAATCATTAATAAGAATAAAATCAAAAAAGAAAGTTTTCTGGTTCAGAAAAGGAAATTGTTAAATTATTAGTAAATTGAATAACTCATGTTAAATTCAACCACAATAGTAATAGCAAAAATAAAATTTTACAAACAAAAACAAATTTTTAATTAAAAGTTTGATTCTTTTATTTAAAACCTTTCAATATAATTATCATAAAAAAAGAGAGATATTGCTGATCTACAATTAAATTTAGCAGATAAAGAAGTTTAAATATCATAACTCTAATTAAAAAATAATATCTAATAACTTTAAAATGAATAAATGAAGTAGCAGCTTAAAAAGGTATTAAGTATTATTGAAAACTTTTAGCTATTCTCTAACAATTTCGTAAAGTTAAGACAATGAAAAAAGCTAAGCAAGTAAAAAAGATTTTAGCTAATCAGTTAAACAAAATAAAAAATTAATTACAAATTGTTAGAACAAAAACTCATTAAAAATATTATTTTATTATCACTCAAATTCATAATTGTAGCAAACTTTAATTTAGTTTACATTATTAAATGATATATTTAAAGTAAATACATATTGTATGTTTGTTTGTTTATCTGCTTATAATTTTAACTCATTATTTAAAAAAACAATATATCTTTAATAACTTTATCAAAAGTTGTAAATAAAAATAAAAATGAAGACTTTTATTTAATTTATCTAAAGTCTATCATAGGTAATATAAATTTTGATTCTAAAAATATGTAAGCATGCTTAATACATGATTAGGCAAGATTACACATTACTCCATCTATTAATTAATTCTTTTTGTTGGAAAATATAGTAGTATTTTGTATTCCAGCAGGAGCAATTTATTTAGTTTAAGTCTTAGATGTTGTGGTTAATAACCTTTTAAAGATGGTATTATTAGATAGTTTAATTAATGGATTTAATTAAATTAGGAATTAATTCTAGTTTGTCTGTAAATGGTTTTTAATAATTTATAATGAATTTATTAAATAAAATTAAAGCAGAATGAATTATAAAAGGATTTAAAAAGTGTGGAATTTCTAACAATCTTGATAATTCTGAAAATAATTTAATAAATTAGAATATAAATAGATTAAACATCTTTGTTAGTTTATTTATAATAAAAAATTTAAGACTCATCAAGTGTAATAATAATTTTTAAGACAAAACAATAAATGCAAGCAGATTATAAAACAATACAACTTATATGAATAAATTTTAAAGTATTTTATAAAGTTAATTTAATATATTTAAAACATATTTAAGAACAAACAGATTCTTAAAATACTATTACAGGTTAATCACCTTATCCTGGTTGAGTATAAAAATATAATAACAATGATGTAAATTATCCAGATGGTATTTTTCATTATATATTCAGTATATTCATTGTAAATATTCAAATTTTTTATTTAATTAATATCTATCTATTTTTAAAGTAGTTTTTGTTTTGTTTATAAAATAAATAATAACTTTAGATTATCAATCACAAAAAAAGTTTTGCAAATAATATTATAAAAGTAGCTATTTAAATAAAAATATTAAGTAATGTCAGTCAAATTAAAGAATAATTAGCAGAATCTCTTAATTTAATTTTAAATCAATGTTAGTTTATTCATCATTAAAATTTATTTTATTTTCAAGAATAAGGCATAGAAAATTTAGAAAAATTAGTAGGGGAATATTTAGCTCAAGACATTAATTCTGGCAATCAAAATAAATCACAATTTAATTTGAATTTTTCATTAGAATTTTCATGTAATTTATTTTTATAATATAGAGTTTGTAGTTTATTAGTTATAAATAAAATAACTTTATAATCTACTTAATATATTACTAATTTAGGAAGTACATTAGGCGTTTCAAACATAACTACTACCTAATAAAATAAATGAAAATTAAACTTTATAAGCATTAAACTATATATTAAACACAAAAAATATTAAAAATCAGTTTTTATTGGAAAAAAATAATTTTATAAAAACATTTTTATTTATTTTTGTCTTTGAAGTAATATATTCATAATATATTTTAAATTCTAGAAATAATATTCATAAATAAAATAATTAGTATTTTATTTTACAGAACATATAAAGCTTAATATTTCATAAGATATTTTAAGATTTAATAGTTAAATATAATTAATGGAGTAAAAAAAATTTGAAAATTGTTAATAATTTTTGTTAAAAACTTTATTATACTTGTAATATTAATCTTTAATAATAATTTTCAGATATTTGATGTATTATCTATATCTAATTCATCTTAAGTAAAATTAATTAAATGATCATTTTAATCTTCCTGATTAACAGAATTTAATTTTATTTATCCATTTTAAATATCCTATTTATCTATTTAACTCTCTTTCTAATCCATTGCTATATTTAATTCTTCCAATTCTAATATTTAATAAAAAAATTATTTAAAGACTAAATAAAAAACTATTATATTTACATAAAAAAATAGGAGATTAGTTTATCTAGTTACTAGATACAGTTTTTGGGATATTTTGATTATCTTTTTCAAAGTAATTGTTTTCAGAGTTTAATTTGTGTTAATTTTCAGTAGCTGAGTTTTTTAGTTTATTTTATTTAATAGTTTAATTAATCTACTAATCTTTAAACAGTCTTTTATGATCTCTACCTATAAATTAAATTTTATTTAATATAAAAAATAACAAGAGTTTTAATACCTATTTATATCTTTAAGCCAGATAATAAAAGATCATACTTTTGATCATCACTAAGATTTAAAAATTCTTAAAGAATTCTTTTTATCTTAGCTTTCAATTATGGATTTAATTTTTATTTTTAAAACTTTTGAGCAAGCTTCTTTGTAAAAGAAAATTTTTAAGAAATTTATATGATAACATCCTTAAATTACATTAAAAGACCTATAATAACTCTTTTAATTATTACAATTATAAACCAAGCATTAATTATGATTATAATTATAATAGAAGTGATCACAAAATAATTGAAGGGATTATTATTAATGAATAAACAAAGTAATACAGAAACTGCACACACGTTTGTTTGATAGAAATCAACTGTATTGTACCCACTCAAACTATAGGGTTATAAAATATTAGATGCTATCCCATAGAGAGTAATTACCATAAACATTAGCACTCCTTTAACATTAATATCTTGGGAATAGAAGTTAAGAACTATAATGATTAAAATTTTTTCTAAAATTTTCACGAATTCCCAATAATATTTTTTGCTTTTATACTCTCTGTATAAAAAGCCATATTTCTTATTGATTTATATGCTTTACAAGTCATTTTTGTTTTTGTATAGGATGTAAAAAAGTCCAATAGGTATAATAAAGGCAAAAACTAATAAGCAAGGAGTTACTAAGGTAGAACTATATTTCTAGTGCTGACTAGTATTGCATTCATAATCTATATTGTAGAGTATATAACTAGTATCTCCAATTTTTCTGCATGAAAGAATAGCTATCATTTGAGAAACTAAATCAGGCTAAACTAAAATAAATATAAAGATCGCAACCGTACAAATAGAATATAAATGAACTTTTTTATTTGTAAATAACCTTTATAAAATTAAACCAAGCACAAACGTCATTAAATAGCCAACTGGGACAATTAGAGTAAATAGGAGTCTAAGATATATTATTGGTATATCTGTTTATATCTCCTTTAATGTACAGTCAAGGGAATTGATTTATTATCTTACAGGTGTTCCTAAATACTATGAAGTATCAAATATATCTTTTATTTAATAAAATTTAAAATATTAGTTTCATCCTAAAAAATGTAGTTTTATGTAAACACATATGATTTTTCAAATTAATGTTACTAAAATAATAAATTTAAAATTAAAAAATGTTTGTTTTATTTACCTGTAGTTAATTTTATGTTAAAAGTAATAATTGATCCTATAATTTATAAATAGTTTGTGAATACTTTAATATAAACGCAAGCTTTTTCTTCTTTTGGAGATATTTTTTCTTTTTGGTTATCATATTTGACATTTAATTTAGATTAATATTTAGTCTCTTTTGAGGAAGTACTTTGATTATTCTTTAATGAGTGTCTTTTCAGAGCTACTTAAACAGCAATAATTGTTTATTCCTCTAGGTCTCCTCTTATAGCAAGCTGAATTGAAAATATAGTCCAGATTATTGTTAAGATGGCTTTCCACAAATAAGTACTCAATTCTTTACATTACCCACATTGATAAGATCCAACTTTAGAATAGCTTTCTCCCCAATAACTTCCATAAATCTTATTTATTTTAAACTTATTGTTAAATTAATATTTAAAAAGTTGTATTTACATCACATTCTTCACATAGAGGTCCTATATAACCTTATAAACATACTTAATTACCATAAGTATTTTCAATACAGTTTGAAGGCTTATTTACACATTCTATAACTAGAGGACTACTTTCATTTTTTCTCCAAAATCCTTAATTTACATATATAATTCCATTTTTGCATTTTGCTCCAGAAGGACATGACATTATTGTGTATCAAGAGAGTATTTATCTTATTCACAGACAACACATTCTGTAAATGTATTATAAAAATTCTGAATTTCACCATATTTACAACTTCTAAAATAAACTTCTAATTCATAAGAATAGTTAGACTCAAATTAATTAGTTTATTTATTTAAAATTTTTATAACATCAGATTTGAACTCAATTATTGCTTATGAATTTGGAATCCCAACTAATTACAAACCTTAAAAAATAAATTGTTTTTATTTTAAATCAATAAATGCTGTAGAATTTCCTCTAATGTAATAATTTGATATATTTTTTGTTTTGCTGCTAAATTATGCTTAAATCATTATTTTATCAGCATCTAATGGAAATATTGGTTTAGCAGTTTAATCTCTTAGCTAAAAGATAACATCTGGAATTTATGCTCCGCTTTTAATATTTGATAAGGCTAAAGAATTAGTTGACTAATTGAAATATTTATTTAAATCTGTAGTCATTATCAAACTTAAATGATCAGGATAAGAGTTGATATCATCTCCATAAAGAATGGCTTAGTTATTCAATATTGTGCTTTAAGAATCTATAATTGGATTTATACCTAAATTATTAATGCATCCTCCGATAACTGCTTAGTTATTTGATAGGTTTGTTTTATAAATTTTGATCTGTTACTGTTATGTTGATTCACTTTCTGAGTTAATAAATAATGCCCCACCACTTCCATTTAAAGATTGATTGTCAGTAATTTAGCAATTAGACAAAGTTAAAGTAAAAGCCTATTAATTGTATGATTAAAAATTTGAAATTATTTAAAAAAAGAAGTATTACATCATCATTTTAGGCCATTAAAAACATAGCTCCTCCATTTTATATGGCAGTATTTCCAATCATTTTAGTATTTTGTATATAATTAAGATTAGAAACCAAACCATTAACTGAAATAGCACCACCGTTATTGGCCTATTTATTAATAAATATTTAAATTACATAAAGTTTGTATGATATTAAATTATTTTAATCACTTTTGATTCTAAAAAGATAGAGTCAGATATAAAAAATTGTGTTTAATTCAACTAAAGTATAGAGCCAAAGCATAGCATGCAAATTATTTTCTAAAATACTGTTTATTATTATATTTATAGCTTAGATTAATATAGTGATATAAGAGCTCCTGAATTTATCAGATAAATCTATGATTGTAATACTCGTTTTGAAGATATCTAATTTATATTAATAAATTAAGAATTTTCAATTCTTAGAGATCCTTAATTGACACTAATTAAGTATGTGGAAAAAGTAGAGTCTTTAATTATTAATCTTTAAATTATTATACTCGTACTAATACTATTAATTAGAAGAGGGGAAGTATTTTGTAAATTTTTTATTATTAAATTTTAAAATCCACAATCAACAATTGATAACATTGATTTTTAAAGTTAGAAAAATGACACTGATTAGATGTCAGGTAGCTTAGCCATTTGATTCAAATAATCAGGATAAGTTTAGTTAAAATTATTATTATGAATATTCAAAAGAGTAACATTAGAATTTTAGATATTCAAAAGATATGAGTTGGCCTTGCCTAAAATATTAATTATCTCTCCTTAATAGAATAGAATCTAGTTTAATAAATTCTAATTTTCTGATTATCTGAATATTTATTTAAAAAAAATTAAATATTTTATTTATTTTTTATTATTTTATGATAATAACTTTATGTTGATAATTATTTTAATTTAAAATTTTTTCTTAAATCTTAATTTAAATTAATTTACATTATTGAAATCGAGGAAGAATAAGAACTGAGTGTATAGATATTATTAAAGTTAGATTACTTACAAACAAAATCTAAATTTGAGTTTTATAAATTTATGTAAAATGCACCGCCATCCTTTTAAGCATAGCCTTCTATAAATGAAGATTTTTCTATCGAAATATTTGTTTCTGAACTAAGGCTCTCTAAGTAAATAAACGAGCCTTAGCTTGCTGTGGATTGGCTAAAATTTGAAGAAAGAATTTACAAATTGCTTGATTTAGCTCTTAAGCAACCTCCTTATTATATTAAAGTTGTTGTATTATCTGTGATATTAAATGAAGATTGCTTGCAAATAGTATTAATGATAGTTATATTAAGACCAACTATATATTGAAAATTAAAGATGCTACTAGATACTGAATTAATAAATTGGTTATCAAGTAAATATATAGGACCTAATGGATTAATTATCTGAATTGCAGAAGTTGAATAGGTTTATGCATTAGGAATTACATTTAATCTATTTTAGCTAAAAATTGAGTTGCTTATTGTTATATTAGAAGTATAAGAGGAAGTAATTAATATTGGGTTTGCTTAGGAGATAGTTTAATTTTATTCAAAATATGAACTTGTGATAACTACTTTTGATAAATTTATTACTGAATTTGTGTAAACTTAATTTATTATTGCCAAAATAGAATTATTTATTCCTTTTATATAGATTGATTATAGATTAGTTATGCTAATCTTTTTTATTTCATTCAAAATTAAACATCCACCATACTCTCTATTGACTAAACTATTAAAAAATTTTTTTTCATTTAAGCAAGAAATATTACTAAGTGTGACTATAGAAGATTAGGATAATGAACAAAATGCTATTTCTTATTGGTTTTTTACTGTAACTTCAGTTATTTAAACTGACAAAATTTGTTCAGTTAGAACTAATTAAGTAATTCCGAGATATATGTCAGATTAAACTTAAGAAGAGGGAAAGTAAGAATTATCAGTGAAATTTAAATAGCTCATATTTAAAGTGTGTTAGGGAAGAGGATTTATTGAATAAATAGCATCAAAAAAGAGATAATTGTATGTTGTATAAAATGAGTTATTGTACATTCTTATATTCTAGAACTAAAAAATATAGTTTTTTTGTTCGATTGTGCTTACAGTTGAGAATATCTATAAATTACAAAACTGATTATTGGATATTGTCATATTAGCTACATTGAACTAACCAGCTTCAAATAGCTAACCAGAGAATTGTGGATAGTAAATTTAATTTATGTCACATAGATTATTTTAAATTACAAAAGTATCAATAATAACATTTACATCGCTCTCTTAGGTTAATATACTGAATTTTTCACTTAATTTACAGCTATCTATTAGAATATTTTAAAGTGCAATCTATTAAATATAATAAAAATATTTAATTTTTAATTTAAAATTTAAAAAATTACCTATTTAGAATTAAGGATTGTTATTAACGTTGATGTATTTGAAAAATCTAAACTTTTTATGTTTATATTTTTAATCGTCAAGTAAGAATTATTTATTTAAAAAAAGAAACAATCTGATTAACTACCTGTTGAAGATATACTTATGTTATCTATAGTAGCACTAGAAATAATACCATCGAAATATACCCCACACTTTTATTAGGAGCTACTAATAATAAAATTAATAAGTATATCATCAAGGTTTAGCATAAAGAGGCCCGAAAATTGGAGCAACTAATTTACATTAATTTAAGCTAATTGATTATTATTCCAGCTCTAAATTGTTAAATTTGTTGATGCAAAAGCTTATAAAGTTAACAGTTCATTGTAAAATATCATCTAATTTTAGTTACTCACTAATATATAAACGTTTAGAATTTCAAATCCGTTTATTAATTGGAAATATTATTAAACCTATTTTTAAATCAAAATATTATTTTTAAATTGTAAAATACTCTGATAAAATATTTATTTTAATTAAGATATTTATTTACTAAAAGTAAAGATGAAATTATACTCAAAGAAGTGGTAAAAGGCTATTCAAAAGAACCTATCCCATATAGACTTATAGCGTCAGTAGTTTCAGTAGTATTAAAATAAAACTACATTTAGCATTTCGAGTTACAACTAGTCAAATTTTAAAGACATTATCCAATAGGGAAAAATGTATTGCTATAGTAAAACTAAATAAATAAAACCTAAGTCTTTTCTATATACTGAATATTACTTACAATATCTGTATAAGAAGGAGATTGGAAATGCATAAATAATTCAAATTATTAAGTAACTGTGTTAAAACTCCATAAATAAACATCTCCACTTAATTAATCCCCGACTCCAAACATATTAATTTAATTGAATACATTTAAATAGTATGGATTTGCCTATAGTTTCATTAGAGGTTTAAATGTTTTTTTAGAGAAATTATAGCTAATTATATTGTAATCACCACAAACTATTATTAGAAACTTACTATCAACAGTATGAAATAATTAACCAATTATTGAGTCAGAACAATCAGACAAAGACAAGACTTTTTATCAAAATCAATTTTTTTAAATAAAATAATTTTAAAAATATTTTACTATTATTTTTTTTAAAATAATGAAAAAAAATTTTTTTTAAATTGGAATAAAATTTTATATTTCATTTTTTTATTATCATCTAAAATTAAATTAATTCCCTTTTTGAATATAATGTTTGATTTAATTGAGAATAAGTAAGATTGCTACCTATTGAGTATTTGAATGAAAGGTCTGTAGAATTCCAAACAAAAATACTTCCATTAACAGCTATTCCAACGATTTCTTAATCTTCATATGAATAGAGAGCATAACTTGTTTTTTGACTATTTTCTTCTAATCAGAGAGCAATTTAAACTATTATTTAGAGGTAATATTTATAGCATAAAATAATAAATTTTCATTATTTTTTTTAAAAGGTAATCCTACAATAACCCAAATATTTTGATTAACATCTTAGTAGGGATCAATATTGAAGCTTATTTAATCTACATTAAGATTTAACTTACTTAAATCGTATACCTGTTTTTATATTTAAAATAACTTCAATATGTTTGATTAAGATAAAAACAAAGAAATAATAACTTAAGGGGTGAATGAGTAGTCCATTACTTTATAAAATCCTAAGTATGTATCATCAAACATACCAACAAAACAATTATTACAGTTTTTAACAGAAAAAAAGGTATTTTATCTTGCTTTGATTTCCTAAAAAAGAGGAAAAGAACGGAGAGATTATAGGTTACTTGGAGAATCTTTAGTGAGTAAAATTTAATTTAATCTAGGAACAACAAAGTATATTTCTTAATTTAGTTAGAAACTAAATATTTTTGTAAAACCTGCAGAAGCAAAAGCTTAATTTTTATAGTTATAATGGTTGAAGTAAATTTATTTTTGAAATATTTTATTTTTACTAAAACGAGTGAGCTATGTGTTCGTATTATATGAATAAACAAATAGAGCTGATTAGTAAAAGTATCCAGTGTCGAATGGTATTAAAAATTATTAACTTTCTTCCAAATGACACCATTCATAATATTGATATCCAGGTGGTTAAACAGTAAAAGGTTTATTGATATTAGTAAAGCTAAAAGAATCAAACGTATTTGTATTCTAATTATATAAAAAATTTAAATCTATTCTATAAATAAACGCCTAGCTACTTAGGTATAAACTGCCTTAATTATTTTAAGAATTTATAAAGCTTAAACTGAGAAAAACATCTCCTGAATTACTATTTGGTAGTTCTATTTTTTTAAATTTAAAGAAATTAGTAATTAATATTATTATTTTTTTTAATCTACAATTAGTCTATATTAATTTTATCTAATTCGTTTATAAGTTAATGATCTAGAAAGCACTGATTTCATAGTAGACTCCTGCTAAAAATATAATATCATAACTCTTGTGGAAATCTATTAATCTATAATTAGAGATACTTTAGGGATCTATAAAATATAATAAAATGAAATATTATTCTTTAAAAAACTTAAAAAATTAATTTTACACTATTGCGAATAATATCCATTGAATGAAAATTTAAAAGTTTTAAAATCAATTGACCAAGTATAAGCACCATACAAATCAATTACTGCTATAAAATTCTAACCGTTTTATAGCTAAAATATCTTTGCAGAAGTAATATAATTACCATAATCAGAATTAAAAGGTAAAATATCCAATGCTAGAATTTATTTTCCTTCTACAAAGTCAACAATATATAATAAAAATAGAGATGTTTATAAAACACAGTAGTTAGATCCTTTGATGAAATGCATTCTTTTTAATCTACTGTATGGTAGTGTTTATTTTGATTCAAGAGTATAAGGATCTGCGTATATTAGCTATTCTGCATTTAGAACTAAAATTTTATTTCTTTAGAGTATATACTCCATCTGAACTATAACATAGTTAGCTTTAATAAAATAAAAATTGTTTTAAAAAAGTATAAAGTATTTATTTAAATTTACGTTTAACCACATTTAAAATATTATCAGTTCCACTAGAAATATCATTGTAATATACTATACTCGAAGATTCTACGGAATTTTAATAAGATATAGTATTTATCAAAAGTATATTAGTGTTAGGCAACTTCAAATAATTAGAAGCATAGTAGCCATCAAAAAATCTAGGCACTATTTTTAAAATTTACGTTATAATAAACTAAAATATTAATTTAATCTTACGGTGCTACCTAGAAAATGCTTAACATATTTAAGCATTTAGGTTTTATATTGATTACATTAAGATTATGACTGTTAAATTCAAAATAAATAATGATTTACTCATACTAATAGATATTTATTTTTGTCAACCTTCTATTACTATATTTTAATTAAAATATAGGTTTTGAGATAAGATTATTGAATTTATTAAGTGGAACGTTTGTTAAAAAAGTTCAAAAATTAATGAATTGTTATTTTTGATTTTTCTTATTCTTACCTTTTATTCATATATATCAAATGTAGGATTTAAAATGAACACTTCTATTATTGATATGTATCTAAGAAAACTAAAAATATATAATTTTTGTTTTACTATTAATAAAAGATGGTAGAAATATCTACAATAAGTATCTATAAAGCTACTTCTTATAATAATAAAATACTAATCTCAAAATTTTTAATATAAAAAATTTATTGTAAATTAGTTTATATTATTTATGTATAAAATAATTTTTACCAGTTTAATTTTATAATTTTTAAATTTAATATCTCTTTCAAAAATAAATAAATCGACATAAATACTATCAAAAAAGTAAATTAAGATTAATATAAATTTGAAATACTTTCTATGCTTAGTTTTTAAAAAGGATTTTTGATAGTTTTATAAAAAATTTGTTTCTATAATTAAATAAAAATTGTCAATTCAAAATAATGAAAATACTTATAAATTAATTAAATTAAAAAGAAAATGCTATGAATGAATCAACTAATTATTAGAATATTTTAAATTGATTTATAATCTTTTAATAATTTATATAATGACTATTTCTTATATTTTATTAGTTTCGCTCTTTTCTTTCTGTATCAGGATTAAATATTATTTACTATGAATCGAAATAATATGTTGGCTTTCTTTTTCTATTCGTACTATCTAGGTTTTAGTTTATGTTATAAATATTTGTTTGAGATAATTATTATTCACTTTTTAGATGTTTTTACTGCTTGGCTGTGTAGATTATAAACTACGACTACTCTTGTAAATGCTTTAAGAAATAACAGAGTTCCTTTTTCTTCTATTTATTTACCAATTTATTTATTTTTAAGAATTAATTTGTGATTTGCCTTGTACATTAGGAGTTTGGTAGATAATACTAATTAATTATATTTCTTCGTTATTATCTAAATTCTTATCCAGATTGTTATTATTAACTATATTTTAATCCATTTTTTTGTTAAGTTATACAGGTGAGGATTTTAAGATAGCTGATTATACCTAAGATTTACTCATTTTATTTTTAATATACATTACTAGTGATTTAACTAATTAATAAATAGATAATATGAGATCTTTAATAATAAAAATAGTAAAGTATGCTATTAATAATCCACTAATAGCAACTATTATCCATCCAATTTTCATTCTTGTATCTTCGTTTTCATCTTAACTATCCTTAACTAACAATGAAGCACAAATTTAAATGGCTATCATTAAAACTTCCTAAATAATAAATTACACATTTTCGAAGTTATTTTTAAAGGGAGTCACTACAGATAAGTATATTATTATAAATATGTTGAGAACGCATATAAAGGAAATTTATATGTATGTATAGTCATACATAAAACTTATCACCATACAAAATAGAATTTTTCTGAAGTATAAGACCACATTATAATACTTGCTAAACTTGAAAATTAACTACTCTCTTATAGTTTTTTTCCATTCTAATAAATTAGTTAATGAGCTAGAAAACGATTTCTAACTTATTTCTGAAACCGAGGAGGTGTTGCGGTAAATCTAGTTTTTTTCTCCTTAGTGTTTAATTGTGTGTATAATATCTTTTACCATTATTTAATTCTATAATTTTTAATTCTTCAGGAACCTCAGATATTTTTTAGTTAAATATTTGAGCTAAGTTTTTTACTTCAAGCTAGTTTTCATTTTAACAGATTTTGTTTAAAAATCGTCATTTTATAAATCGACTACTTTATTTTCTTTCAATCAATCCATTTAAAAGAGAAGAATATTTTGTCTGAAAATCCTTATCAATACTGATATTTTAATTCTTATATATCATATAAAGATATAAAAAAGGGATGCCTAAAAATATGATAAAGCAAAAAGAGTGGAATATGTAGAAATAAACAATGAATTTAAAAATAAATTATTAATATAATGATAGATTTCACAATTTATTTATATATAAATTAATTAATATTTAATTAAATAAAATAAGAAAAAGAAAAACAACATAAAACTAATTATCAATAAATTTATATATTATTTTTTAATTTCAAAAAAATAAAATTAAAATAAAAATTATTTAGTAAACAAATAAATACATAAATATAAAATAACATAAAATTTAAAAATTAATTAATTAATTTATTTTTTATTAAATTTTAACATGTAGCTTCTCAGCTACAGAAAAAATTTGCTGCAGATAGCAATATATGAAAATTTAATATGCTAAGAGTAGATAGATACCTTACATAGGCATGTAATTATTAATAAAATTCTTTTAATTATAGGTATGTCATGTAATAATTGTAAATATAATGACTTTTATAAGATATACAAATGACTGATAGATAAATCAACAAAATTTATAAAATTATCTATGGTTTATTGATAAAATTTGCATAACATTAATAAAATAATTTGGTATTCAAATATACTTAGTTACTAAAATTTATTAAATACGAAATTTAATACATGTTTAGAGAAGATTATTAAATTTTTTATATTCAATACATTCATTCATTGTAAATATTCAAATCTTTTATTTAATTAATATCTATCTATTTTTAAATCAGTTTTTGTTTTGTTTATAAAAATAAATAAATAATAACTTTAGATTATAAATAACAATAAAAGTTTTGCAAATATTAGTATAAAAGAAGCTATATAAATAGGAATATTAAGTAATGTCAGCCAAAGTTAAAGCATAATTAGCAGAATCTCTTAATTCTATTCACGATACTTACTAACTTAAATTAAAGACTTTGTAATTAAGATATCAATCTTCATTTGATGAATTGAGTAAATTATAATATTGAATTCATAATTTATAATCTAATGCCAATAATTATTGTTTAAAATTTATGAAAAGCTAGCTTAAGGTTTTATTTGTGTTATGCAATCTTTAGATAATACAATATTTTAATTTTCTGCTTCAATTAAATTTGAATTTTCAACAAAGTTAATTAGTTTATTCATCATTAAAATTTATTTTATTTTCAAGAATCAGGCATAGAAAATTTAGAAAAATAAGTAGAGGGATATTTGGCTCAAGACAACAATTCTGGTGATCAAACTAAATCACAATTTAATTTGAACCCTTCATTACAATCTTCATGTAAATTTATTTTTATAATATAGAGTTTGTAATTTTTTATTTATAAATATAATAGCTTTAATAATCTACTTAATATATTACCAATTTAGGAAGCATATTAGGTATTTCAAACATAACTACTACCTAATAAATTAAATCAAAATTAAATTTTATAAATTTTAAACTATATATTTAAGTTTATATCGTTCAAATTTAATTTAATTTAAAATGAATTATTTATAAAACTATTTAGAAAATTAAAGTTTTAATTCAAAATAGTGGTTGATTTATGATATATTTGTTATGTTTCTATTATGTTAATTATTTATATATTAAATTAGTTAAAAAAAAAAACTAAACCCAAAATAATATTAAATATCAGTTTATTTTTTGAAAAAATAATATAATAATAACATTTTAATTTTTTTTGTCTTTGAAGAAAATTTATTTTAAATTCTATAAATAATATTCTTAAATAAAAATAATTAGTTTTTTATTTTACTTACAAAACAAATAAAGCTTAATATTTAATATAAATATATTATTAATAGGGAAAAATGAACTTTAAAATTGATAAATCTTATTTTAAAAACAAAAAAATAATATATATTATTAACATTTAATAATAATTTTCAGATATTTAACATATTATCTATTTCATATTCAGTAAAATAAATTAAATTATTATTTTTATCCACCTGGTTAATAGAATTTCATTTTATTAATTCATTAGAGTTATCCTCTTTATCTTTTTAACTCTCTTTCTAATCAATTGCTATATTTAATTTTTTAAATCCTAATATTTAATGAAAAAATTTAATGATTAAAAAAAACCTATTATATATATTACATAAAAAAGTAGGAGATTAGTTTATCTAGCTGTTATATACATTATTTGGGCTATTTTCATTATCTTTATCAAAGTAATCGCATTCAGTGTTTAAGTTTTGTTAATTTACATTATCTAAGTATTTTTGTTTTAATTTTATTAATTTATTAGAGTTATCCTCTTTATCATTTTAACTTTCTATCTAATTCATTACTAAATTTAATTCTTCGAATTCTAATATTTAATTAAAAAATTTAATGATAAAAAAAAACAATCAAAAATATTACATAAAAAAATAGGAGATTAGTTTATCTTGTTGGTATATACAGTATTTGGGCTATTTTCATTATCTTTATCAAAGTAATCACTTTCTGAGTTTAATTTTTATTAATTTTTAGTAGCTAAGTCATTTAGTTTATTTTATTTAATAGTCTAATTAATCTACTAATCTTTAAATAGTCTTTTATGATTTTTACCTATAAATTAAATATATTAAATATAACAAATAACAAGAGTTTTAATACCTATTTATATCTTAACACCAGATAATAAGAGATCATACTTTTGCTCTTCACTAAGATTTAAAAATTCTTAAAAAATTCTTTTTATTTTAGCTCTCAATTATGGATTTAATTTTTATTTTTGAAACTTTTGAACAAGCAACTTTGTATAAGAAAATTTTTAAAAAAATGAAATGATAACATTCTTAAATTATATTAAAAGTCCTATAATAACTCTTTTAATTACTAAAATAATAAACCAAGCATTGATTGTGATTATAATTATAATAGAAGTCATTACATAATAATTGAAGGGATTATTGTAAATGAATAAACAAAGTAATACAGAAACTGCACACACGTTTGTTTGATAGAAATCAACTGTATTGTACCCGCTCAAACGATAGGGTTA